ACACACACACACACACACACACACACACACACACACACGGGGGTTAGGGGGCTATAGTGGGCAGTGATCAGTGCTATTCAGACCTACAGGGAGGACAGTCACAGGACACAGGGGCTGTGGAGTAATGAGGCCTAGGAAGGAGGTTTAAGAGAAGGGTGTCTAGGGCACGGGGAGAACGGGGAGAATGTGTTTTAGTCCACAGGGTCTGGTGGCTGGAGCAGAAAGTGGTCCGTAGAGACCACCTCCCACAGCACAGCTCCCTCCTAACACGTGCTACATAAGCTCTCTGCAATCCCACAGGTAAAGATCTGGTTCCAGAACCGTCGGGCCAAGGAGCGTAAGGTGAACAAGAAGAAGCAGCAGCAACAGCAGCAGCAGCAGCAGCAGTCGCTGCCTCCCACACAGCTGCCCCTGCCCCTGGATGGCACCCCTGCCCCATCAGGGCCACCCCTGGGTAGTCTATGCCCCACCAATGCAGGCCTTCTGGGTACCCCCTCTCCAGTGCCTGTCAAGGAGGAGTTTCTACCCTAGCCCCTTCCAGCCTGGGGCCCAGGCATCTAGGGACTTGAATGTTGGGTATCTGGCTTTGCTGGAGCCCAAGGAGCCTGTTCTGAGTTCTAGCCCTGCTGCCGACCTTTGGGATCACTGTGGACAAATTGCCTACCTGGGACAAGTAGCCTGCCCACTCTCTGCCCTCCTTAAGCTGGGCTGTGTGAGGAGCCTGTTGGATAAGGATCTCTTAAAGTTCTTGTGGTCTAGGCCATGGGGGTAATGGGGAGCCCTAGTGAGAGGTTTTAACCACCTGGAGATATTGCAAGATCTAGAGGACTCAACCAGCATATAAGACAAGGTTGAGGCTCTACCTCCTCCTCCAAGGGCTCCAGGGTGAGGTGGAAGGCTGCTACATGGACCGGACTGGCCCTGGAGAGAAGAGACAGTGTTGAAAGAAAGTGGTACACATGAGTCTAAACTCCCATGTGAGGTACAGGATGATATCTGTCCCACCTGTCTCCTCATGCAGCCTCACCTCCACCTGCCCTAGTGCCCCATGCTCTGCCCTCCCCTAGCCTGGAGGTGGCCACAAAGTTGCCAGGACTGGGTATGAGGTAGAGGTTGGGCAATTGGCTATTACTCTTGAAACAGAACTTGCTCCTCCCTGGCACTCCAGGGAGGCTTATGGATGGAAGGGAAGCCTCTCAGGGTAGACTCAGAGTCCACATACCTGTTCATGCCCACCTCCCCACAGGCTGTCTATCACACCTAGGAGCCCCCAGACCACGGGGAACTCCCAGCTGGACAGGGATTAAGCGGAGTGGAATCTCTTGGATGCAGCTTCAGGAATAAGTTTTCCCCCTTTAAACAATTTATTAAAAAAAAAATCATACATAGCATTAAAGGAATTTTTTAAAAAGTTTAATCACCATCTGTCCTTTCTCATGATTGTGTGTCTCCTCTCCATTCCGTAGTTCCTCCAACAAGGTCACCTTTAAAACATGGCAGATCAAACAGGACCTGCCAAAGCAGGTCTGAGGCTGAAGAAACGTGTCTTTGTGTGAGTGGTAGCCCCAGAGCCCTCCTGTCTACCTTCTAATCCTTCGGGTGCCTTCAGTTCAGGTTTTTCCTGCAATATTGTTATTCAGACTGCCTCTATGTGCCAGGCGAGCCTGGAAAGCACACAGTCCTTGCCCCCAAGAAGTGCCTGGCCCAGTGGGAAGAGTGCCACATATGTGTAATGGTGCCAGTATAAAAAGATAAGGGCCAGTCAGAACTTTGCTCTAGACACGGCACTGTGTCTGTGAAGATGGACAGCAGAGCCCATTGGGGGGCCTCGAAGGCTTCCTGGAGGAGGCAGTGTGCTTGAACTAGGATCTGTAGGTGATGGTCAGGTCCAGAAGGGAAGAAGGAATGGGAGCAATGGGAGCTTTAGAGTTTTGTTTTGTTTTTTCCAAGCTTCAGGGAAGAGATGTTCTTCTCACCTCTTTCCCAGAGGTAGGCAGAAGTCAGCTACCTAGGGCCCTCTCTGCCCAGAGGGCTCTGGTGCCAGCTGCCTGCCCCTCTGTTTACTGTTCTGGGAGTTGGCTAGGTCATAAAAAGTGTGTGCAGCCCGTCTGCCTTTGCCCTTTGCTCCTGGGCCTGGGATAAGCGTGTACAGGTGTTCCCAGCCCCAGCACACCAGCCTCCTCGCTTCAGCCATCCACTGGGGAGCTAGCAGGGCCTCTCTGTGGCAGCTGACACCAGAGCCTCTGGAACCAGGTGGCGCCAGAAGAGTGGAGAAGGGAGAGGCTGGTAGCTGGCAGTGAGTTTAGCCTTCTGATCTGCATGACCCTAGGGTAACTACTTCACCTCTCTAGGCCTCCATTTCCTTCTCTGGTCTAGCTGTTTTGGGTGTAAAAAAGGATTTATGCAGCAAATGCTTTTAAAACCTGTTGAGCCCTTTCCCTGGCCAGACTGACCTGAAACTCACCAAAAGGTCAAGCCTGGCCTTAAACGCATGGTGCTAATCTTTGCAACCACCACAGCCTTTGGAATGCTGGGATCACAGGCGTGAGCTGGTTCTGTCAGTGTTCCTTCCCCATGCTTCCTACCCAGGAAACTGGCACCGGTACCTGTGAGCATCACCCACACAAGGGAGTGCTGGAGTCTTGGGGCTGGAGGGCCATGCCATCTCCGTGACTGAGTGGAGCGTCAGGTTCTGGAGTTAAGTGGGCTGAGATCCAGTGTGGCAGCTTCCAGCTTAGGAGAGCTGGAAGCTAATGTGCTTAGACTCTTTGGGCCTCCCCATCTATCAAAGGGACGTAGCATAGCTATTCTTTGTACCAAGCAGCACAGGCCCAGCCCATGCTTTGTGCCCCACTTGAGATCCTTGCATGTCTGGCTGCAGTTGCAACCACCACAGCGCTGAGGACAGTTGGTGGCATGGGGAGATGAGGCCCTGGCTCTAGAAGACCTCTACCCAGCAGGCACTGGGACTGCAGCAGTCATTCACACGGGAGCCCAGGAGGTTGGGTGTGGGTCACCTGTCCGTTGGCATCTGAACTCCAAGAGGAAGAGGAGTTGCCTGTGTATGTCTCCAAGCATGCTATGGTCTTCCGGCCACCTAAAAGCGTTCCACTGGAGGGGCTGGAGATACAGCTCAGTTGGTAGGGATGCATGAAGGCCTGGGTTCAGTCTCCAGTACTGTGAAAAACTGGGTGTGGTGGCACATGCCTGTAATCCCAGCACCGGAATGGTGGAGGCAGGAAGATCAAAACTTCAAGGTCATTCTTGGCTTACACAGTAAGCTCAAGGCCGGCCTGGACTACCTGAGACCTTGTCCAGAAGGAAAAGAAAAAAAAAAAAAGTTCTGGGGAGAGGTTGAGGTGTGGCAGTAGCTAAGGAAAGAGAACTCTTCAGGTCACAGCAGACCCTGCAGCCACCCCAGAGATAGGGGTGTCCCAGCTATCGTCTGGGAAGAGCAGGTGTTGTTCGGGGAGCTGTGCATAGCCTTCGAGGCTCCAACAGTAGACCTGGTTTGGACTGGTCCTCTAAAGCAGAAAACCAGGTCCTAGCAAATGAGAACAGAGCATACCGGCACCGTTTCCTTGGATCCATATAACTCCAGCTCCATGTTGGAAGCCCAGTGCCTTGGAAGAGGTGGGCTCCAGCAGCTGAGGGGCTCTGCATGTGTGACAGCAGGAATGTGAAAGAGGTCTTCAGTCTCTGTGAAAAACAGTCTGGCCCTGGGATGGGGAGACGCCCACCAAAATGGCCCTGGAGGGCAATCCCGGCCTGCAGGCCCACTCCAGAAGGGCATCGTCCCCACTGCACCAGATGGACTGGCAGTCTGGAGCCTCATTTTTCACAGTCACCACTCCTTGTGTAACAAAACACATGCTCTACGGCGACAAAATCCGAACGTTTAAGCAAATTAAAAATGTTTATTTATATGCTTTTAAAAATATCTCCCTATATAATAAAGGAAGTACATTTTCATCTAACACTTTCCTTAAATCGGCACACATCTCCATTTCACTTCTGGCTTGTGGTGAAACCAAGAGACTTTGTGAGTGAAGGAAATGGGTGGGGGAGGGAAGGGAGAAGGGAAAGAATTTAAGGAGTGATAGCTTCCAAGCCCCTCCAGACTGGGGACAGGGACTAGGCAAGCATGTCTGGTCACCAAACCCTTGGTTACTGTGTGATTACAAAGCTAGGGCTTCAGGGGGTCAAGTGACTGACGCAGGCAACATCTGCCAGAAAAATCATAAGTGTTTTGCTTTTTTCCCACCCAAGCTTGGTGACAGGGAGATGATGGCAGAGAGGTGACCGGGAAATGCAGCTTTAGTGACCTCACATCCTGCATTCTAGGTGTGGATCTGCTTTACCCTTACTGAGTAATTTTTGCAAGTCTTGGCCTCTCTGGGCCTCGGTTTCCCCATCTGGAAAGGATGGACCCAGCCTGTACACCATACCCCCAGTGACTCTCACCAGAGCTCAGCGGTCACCACACAATATGCTTGCTCGAGAAAGGCCATCAGTCAGGTGTTACTATGCAGGAGCCAGAAAGAGTCCAGATTTCTGGGACACCTCACCCAAGCCCCTGTTCCCAAGGCTCTCTGAACCTTCCAAAGGCCTGACAGTTTCCAGTGTCAAAGGGAGGGTAGGAGGAGAGGGAGGGCAAAGGAAGAGGGAGAATGGACCTGCATGAGCCTTCTTCCTGAGCCCCAGATCTCTGCTCCTCCTGAGCAGGGCTATAGGCCCTCCAGACTTATTCCTAAAGCTCTGAGGTTCTCTGAGATTTTGGGCACATGACATCATTCCTCTGAGAAAGTTTCTTCACATACAAAATGTGATCTACGCACACTTACTTTCTGGAGCTGTTGGGAAGAATTGATCATTGAATACTGGACATGGGCATCCATCCTAATACTGCAGGGTTCAGGAAGTGTGCTCAGCCCATCCTGGCCACGTGAGACTCCTAGGGGCAGAGGCAGCAGGGAGAAGTTTCTTCCTCCTCAGTCAGGGAAGCCTTGGCTGGCTAGACTCAGATAGGATTAGCTCAAAGGCTGGGGAGGACGATGGGAGATGGGGAGGCACCCAGGTCAGGAACTCTGGAACCCTGAAGCCCAACCCTACTCTCAAACCCCTGAGCAGACCCTACCCTGGCATCTCCCAAAGCCCCCTTCCCCTTCATGTAGAGAGCAAACATATGGATGGTGAGTGTCTAAAGGGGGCAGGCGCCTTCAGAGGGCATGGGTTTTTCCGTGCCTACCTTCCCATAGTGGTTCATCTCAGCAAACTAGTGCACTGATTGCTCAGTCACTCCAGCTGTCAGTTTTCCACCCTAGCCGAAGGCTCACAAGACGGGCAGGCTCTCTGAGAGCTCCTCCAGACATCTGCCGGCCAGTCGGTGGCCCATTTCACAGATAAAATGTATAGGCCTGAGGCCATAGTGCTGATAGACAGAAACCTGCTTTCACACTACATCGCAAGGCACCAACACGGTGACCCTTGCCTGCTCTTCTCCTCCAAACCTCCCAACTGCACTTTCATCCCCCTCGCCCCCCCCAAAAAAAACAACCAGTAGAGCCAAGAGCCATTATGTCTATGGGAAGCCTATGAAGCCTGACTCTGTCCCTACTGTCTCAGTGTGGCCTCGAATGAATAACTAACTTCCCAGTCCTTCAGTTTCTTCATCCGCATCAGCCTCTCTGAGTTGAGAAAAGAAGGTGTGGCCCAGGACCATTTTAAGATACTGGATAAGTGTCTTAGACTAGTGGGCCGTTGGCTGAGTGAGCAACTAAACAGTAGTTGAATGACTACCCTGTTTTTTTGGGTTTTTTTGTTTTGTTTGTTTGTTTGTTTGTTTCTGTTTGGTCTCTCTAAATTCCTTACATCCCAGAAAAGTGACATAAGGTAAAGAGGTTGCCTTGCAGGAAACTTAAGTTAAGGTCATCAGCAAAAAATGTAGTCCGGTGCCAGAACCCCACACAGGAATATTAGTGTGCAGGACCACTCTGCCTGCCTCTGGCCTCACCCAACTAATGGAAGGGAGGCCCAGAGAAGGCAGTCACTTGCCCAAGGTCACCCAGGAGACCGTAGCTGCGGCCGACGGTTTCTGTCACGCAACCCCCTCCCCACCCGCTCGGGCAGCTCCAATCCGCAGCTCTGCGTGCGGGGGCGCGCGCATCCCCCCCGCCGCCGTCTGTCCGTCATCGGATCTGTCTGGGTGTCTCCCCAGCCCAGGGCGCTGCGCAGGGAGAGGCAGGGCGTTCGCAGCGCCCCACGCCCGCAGCGGCCTCACGGCAGCGCCTGCGCCCTCCCCAGCCCGTGCGCGGGAGCCGCGGGGGCAAAGGCGCAGAGGTAGGACCAGCGCTCTGCACCCGCCTCGCTGGCTCTCTGCGCTCGTGCGAGCAAGCGCCAGCTCTCCAAGATGAAGAA